AGGGTTGCGATCCCCTTACCGGTCACGAAAAAAAAAAAAAAAAAAAAAAAAAAAAAAAATTGCTAGATGCAGAATAATAAAGAATATGCTTATTTTGTATTGTTTAGTTCTCTAAAAAGATTGTGCCTGTTTATACTAAACTAAGAATATTTTCAAAGTATATGCAGTGTCTCACTACTTTTCACCAATTTCACTTCTCCCACCTGGTCCAATTCACCATCGTCTCTCACTTGAATTCCTACCTAGGACCTTTAGTTGTTTCCTCTCCACATTTACTTTTCCTGCCATATATCTATCTGGCTTACTCTTTTGCTTCATTCAGGATTCTAACTGTTTTTAAGAGTTTTCTTCCCTGACCACCCTGTGCAAAATACCACCTTCCTATCATGTCTCTGTTTCCTTTCTTTTCTGTTTATTATATTTTACTCGTTTATTGTTTTGTCTCCTCCCTCTAGACTAAGTTCCATGAGATCAGAGATTTTGTTTTGTTCACTGTTGTATCCCCAGACCTAGAATGGTGCCTGGCATGTAGGAGGTGGTCCTCAGTAAATATTTGTTACATGAATTATATTGTTTCTAAATGTTGTGAACCAAGATAATAATCCTGGATGAAACAACAGAATTTGTTGACTAGAACAAGAGATCTAGTTAAGGGACCACATTGAACATTAGGCAGAAAAGGGATCTAAGCTCCTAAGAGTGACTCCCCCCACACCCAAATAATTTAGAATACCACCCACAAATAATTTAGAATATCCTGTAACTATACAACTTGGTAATCATTCTGTTTTGTTTTGTTTTGTTTTGTTTGTTTTTGGTAGCTGGCTGGTACGGGAGTAGAACCCTTGACCTTGGGGTTATAACACCATGCTCTAACCAACTGAGCTAACTGGTCAGCCCAATCATTCAGTTTTTTTTAATTTATTTTTCTTATTGAGAATTTATTTTTCTTATATCCCATAAAATTCACCTTTTTAAAGTACACAACTCAATGATTTTTTTAGTATACAGTCGGCCTTCCATGTCCTTGGGTTCTGCATCCATGGATTCAGCCAATTGCAGATGGAAAATAACAGATTGAAAATATTTGGGGGTTAAAGAAAAAGTAAAAATACAACAATAAAAATAATACAGATAAAACCAATACAGTGTAACAACTATTTACATAGCTTTTACATTGTATTAGGTATTGTAAATCATCTAGAGATTATATAAAGTATAAGGGAGGAAGTGTGTAGGTTGTTTAAAAATATGCCATTTTGTATAAGGGACTTGAGCATCTGTGGATTTTGGTGTCCATGGGGATCCTAGATCCAATCCCTCTCGGATACCAAGGGACAACTATGTTTACAAAGTTGGAACAACCATTGTTATTATCTAATTACAGAACGTTTCATCACCCCAAAAAAGAAACCCCATGCCCATCAGCAGTCACGCCCCATTCCTTCTCTCCCTTTCTGCTGGCAACCACAAATGTACTTTCCATCTCTGGATTTGCCTATTCTGGAGATTTCATATAAATGGAATCATACAATATGTGGTCCTATGTGATTGGCTTCTTTCATGTAGCATAATGTTTTCAAGGTTCATCTATATTGTAGCATGTATCAGCATTTCTTTATGTCTGAGTAATATTTCATTATATGGGTATAGCACTTTAAAAAAAAAATTCATCCATTAGTTGATGTACATTTGTGTCCTTTCCTCTTTTGGCTATTAAGGAAAATGCCCCTATGAGTATTTGTGTACCAGTTTTGTATGAACATATATTTTCAAATTCTGGAACCTAGGAGTAGAATTATTTGGTTATATGCTAACTCTATGCTTAACTTCTTGAGGAATTGCCACATTATTTGCCAAAGTGGCAACAATGTTTACATGCCCATCAGCAACATGTTGAAGATTCCAGTTTCTGCACATCCTCACCAACACTTGTTAATTATCTTTTTGATTATAGCCATCCTACTGGGTGTGAAGTGGTTTCTCATTGTGGTTTTGATTTGCACTTCCCTGATGGTTAATGATATTGAGCATCTTTTTGTAGAGTCGAAAAAGTGGGAACAACCCAAATATCCATGAAATGACGGATGGATTTTTTTAAAATGTGGTATGTCTATAATGGGATATTATTTAGTTGTAAGAGGAAATTAAGTATTGATACATGCTACTATATCGGTGAACCTTGAAAACATTATGCTAGGTGAAAGAAGGCAGTCTTAAAGGACCATATATTGTATGATTCTGTTTGTGTGAAATATCCAGAACAGGCAAATCCATAGAGACAGAAAATAGATTTAGTGCCTAGGGTTGAGGAATGGGAGGAAATGGGGGAGTGACAGCTTATGGGTATGGAATTTATTTTGGGATGATAAAAATGTCCTAAAATTGATTATGGTGATGGTTGCAAGACTTTGTATATGTTGAAAACCATTGTACCTTTTAAATTACTGAATTCTATGGTATGTTAAAAATAAAACATCAAAGTGTGAACTTGGATAGCTTTAATAAAAAAATTTTTGCAGGGACTTTGGAACAGATCATTTCCTTTTTAATAACAGTAACACTAATCCTTCTTCACTTTCTACCCTCACTGCTTTAAACACCTTTTAGGTTTGCCCTCGTTGGTGTTGGATCTGAAGCATCTTCAAAAAAGCTGATGGATCTGTTGCCTAAAAGAGAACTTCATGGTCAGAATCCTGTTGTAACTCCATGCAATAAACAGTTCCTGAGTCAATTTGAAATGCAGTCCAGGAAAAGTAAGCAATCCCTTAGAGGCTTTTATTAAAAGATGTGCATTTTAACCATGTTGCTAGCATTTGTTAGGTGTTATGCTGAGGAAGTCATCTTAATATTTAGTTCATTGGAGAATCCATTTTGGAAAGTCCATGCATTGAATTTGATTTAATCACTGGTTATGACTGTGGGCCCATATACTGGAAACCTACTCCCATTCCATTTTTCTCTAGATGTAACAGACCCTGTACTATATAACAGAGTGCAAGTCCTGTAGTGTTGCCATTCTTATCCTGTCATTCCCATTGTAGAGAAAGGAAGAGACTATATTCTTATCCTTAGATTGAAGGACAGGAAAGCTATGTGGATATGTGTTATGGTGGAGAAGAGACCACTGATAACCAGAAAATATTTCTTGATTTCCTACTTGGCACCAAGACCTTTTAGCACTTGTTAAAGTGAATATAGAAAAGATTTGCCATCACATACTTAGAATGTTATCATTTAAAGAGATACGATGGATGATCATGTAATTAACAGAAATTCAAGTGGTGTTTTTTCTTTTAATGTTTTAGCACTTAAGACTTAACTGAAGAATATGTTACAAAATTTAAATGCTCTATGCTACTGAAATTAAGATTTCTGTTGAAGAATTTTGGTCTTGGCTGCTGCAGAGTCCTGGTATTTTGAAAGTAGTTCATATTTACTCATTGGAAATACATTTAAACTTGTATATTTTGAGACATCAAAAGAACTTAAACAAATGTGAATGTTTTCCTAACCAATACTTCTCATGTAGTTTGCCCAGGCCCGGGACATCTATCTGCAAATTAATATATGTATAAATGAACTCTGAAATACAGTTGTTTCTTATAACAGTGGTTGCATTTCAGAGAACTATTTTAATAAGTGCTATTTATGAGTATTTGGATATTTGCAGCTACACAATCAGGACAAATGTCTGGGGAAGGTAAAGCTGGTCCTCCAGGAGGCAGTTCACGTGCAGCATTTCCACAAGGTGGTAGAGGACGGGGACGTTTTCCAGGGGCTGTTCCCGGTGGGGACAGATTTCCTGGGCCAGCAGGACCAGGAGGGCCACCCCCACCTTTTCCAGGTAAAACTTTTCTTAAATTACCACGGATAAAACATGTCTGCCTAATACCTCTTTTCCTTTTCTCTCTTTTTCAAGTAATGCATTATTAATGTGACTTACTCTCCTTGTTATGCTATTTTTGGAATCCAGGAAATTTGATCAAGCATCTTGTTAAAGGAACTCGGCCTTTGTTCCTGGAAACTAGGATTCCATGGCATATGGGGCACAGCATAGAGGAAATACCCATTTTTGGCCTAAAAGGTCTTTATTTTTCTCCAAACTTGCTTGACTTATATATAGAATATTTACATCCGTCTTATTTTCTTACCTCTTAAAAAATCCTTTCAAGACCATTTTTCCTTGTTTCACTTTCTAGCTTGGCATCAGAGTAGAATATAAGGTGGGTGATTTCACTGTAATAAGCGTGTGTACGCTGAAAGATGGAAATATCTCTAAGTGTTGTAATCTTTTTTTATTAAAGTTTTTGTTTCAATAATTTTTCTCAAGTGTAAATTGAGACTGTTAAATTTGTAAGGATATGCTTTACCTTTGTAGTTGTTAACGTAGCATTTACCATATGGGTTTCATTTAAAGAGAAAGAATTTTGGTCTATGAGCTATGCATTAAAAGTATAATCTTGGCATATAAAGGTTAAAATATCCTATTATTGAAGTGTTTTTTTTTGTTCTCTCTCCTTTATTCTGTAGCCGGACAGACTCCACCACGTCCACCCTTAGGTCCTCCAGGCCCACCTGGTCCACCAGGTCCTCCACCTCCTGGTCAGGTCCTGCCTCCTCCTCTAGCTGGGCCTCCTAATCGAGGAGATCGCCCTCCACCACCAGTTCTTTTTCCTGGACAACCTTTTGGGCAGCCGCCATTGGGTCCGCTTCCTCCTGGCCCTCCACCTCCAGTTCCAGGCTATGGCCCCCCTCCTGGTCCACCACCTCCACAACAGGGACCACCTCCACCTCCAGGCCCCTTTCCACCTCGCCCACCTGGTCCACTTGGGCCACCCCTTACACTTGCTCCTCCTCCGCATCTTCCTGGACCACCTCCAGGTGCCCCACCTCCAGCTCCACATGTGAATCCGGCTTTCTTTCCTCCACCAACTAATAGTGGCATGCCTACATCAGACAGCCGAGGTCCACCACCAACAGACCCATATGGCCGACCTCCACCATATGATAGGGGTGATTATGGACCGCCTGGAAGGTAAGTTAGTATGTATCTATGAACATATTTGGTCAGTAAAAGATAGGAACAATGACTGAAAAATACTGTATTGTAGGTACGTAAATATATCATTTCTGCCCTCCAGAGAGATGAGGTTTCTGAGCTGCTTCTTTATTTCAGCTGAAAGATACTGGTGTAAGAGAATTTTGCTTAGACTTGTTCTCTTTTTAGGAAAAATAGTGTGCTTCAGTCTGGAGAAGTAACTACTGTCTCAGGCAAATGTCAAAAGCAGCTAGTATGAATTGCTTTACACTATTACGACTAACTTAGGAAATCTGTTGAGTGTGATTTAAGGTTTATTTTTATTTTATAGGGAAATGGATACTGCAAGAACACCATTGAGTGAAGCTGAGTTTGAAGAAATAATGAATAGAAATAGGGCAATCTCAAGCAGTGCTATTTCAAGAGCTGTGTCTGATGCCAGTGCTGGTTTGTATATTTCTTCCTGTATTAATATTTCTTATTTTATGTTTTTAGTAATGACCTGAAAACTTAAGTGCATTCTTGGAGATAGGTCATTTACATGTAATAGTTCTTTTTCTATTCCCAAATTATTTCCTATTATATATTTAAAAAGCATTGAAGGAAGCTATATGTCACAGAATAGACCTGTAACTTGAAGTTATTAAGTGTAAGTTTAAGTTGTGGCCTTGACATTTAATGGTTCAGGGGCCTTAAGGCAGCTCATTTATTCTCCAATTTGCAAAATGATAACTTTCTTCACAGAGTTATAATAATAGTATCAATTTCATGAGCATGAAAAGCCTTTTCAAAAGATCAAACTCTAAAAAGAGACGGCTTCAGGGCCGGCTTGTGGCTCACTCGGTAGAGTGCGGTGCTGATAACACCAAGGCCATGGGTTCGGATCCTATGTAGGGATGGCCGGTTTGCTCACTGGCTGAGCGTGGTGTTGACAACACCAAGGCAAGGGTTGAGATCCCCTTACCGGTCACCTTATAAAAAATAAAAAAATAAAAAGAGACGGCTTCTGTAGTCATTTTAAATTATACTACTTTTGTAAAATGTTTTATCACTCTTACTCCAAGTGGTTTGATAGTATTTTGAAAACAGAATTTGACTTCATTCCTCCTCAGGTGATTATGGGAGTGCTATTGAGACATTGGTAACTGCAATTTCTTTAATTAAACAATCCAAAGTATCTGCTGATGATCGTTGCAAAGTTCTTATTAGCTCTTTGCAAGACTGCCTTCATGGAATTGAGTCCAAGTCATATGGTTCTGGATCAAGGTAAAACTTTCCTGTCTCATGTCTATTTAAAACTTATAGTTTACAAATGGAAAAAATACTATGTGTGGGACTCTAAAATAAGGCTTTGATACTTACTGTTATTCAGCGGCCAGAGTGATTTTTTTTTAACTAAATCAAACATTAGGTGTTTTCTTAAAACCCTTCAAAGGCTTCCACTTTCTTTTCGAATGAGACTGTAAACACTGAGGTGCTACTGTGTAATGTAGTCCCTGCTTATCTTTCTAGCCTAATTTGGTATGTCTCCACCTACTTACTATTCTCCAGCCATATTTATCTCCCTTTTTCTCTGGACACATGAAGCATTTGACCACCTCACTGTTTTTGTACTTTATATTCCTTCTGCTGGGAACCCTTTTCCCTGGCTTTTCACATGCCTGGCTCCTTATCCTTTATGTCTCAACTTAGTCTAACTTCTTAGGAGGGGTCTTCTCCCAGGTTAGTCTATCATTTCGTTCTGTTTGTTTCTTTCATAATACTTACTGGAACCTATTCTTGTTTGTTATTAATGCACATTACTTCCAACTAGAACACATGTTGGGTGATGACAAGAACCTTACCTATCCTGTTCATTAAAATATGCCTAAATGGTATCTAGTACAGAATAAGTGCTGAATAAATATTTCTTGAGTGGGGGAGTGAGTGAATGAATGAATGGTCTATTTCTTTTTGGTTTTTAAGTTAGGTAGTTCCTATTCTTATTGTTACTGTTAACCTTGAAATTTTACATATTTTCGAAAGGTAGATCTTTAGTTTTCACATGATATTCTTAGATCGGTCTTTAATGTACTTTGTCTGGTGGTAGAGTCTTCTTAATTAAGTTAAGGGAAAGGAGCTAGCCTTTGACATGGTCCACAACTTTATAATTATTACCTTTTGGACCCAAAGAAACGATCTCTTTGTCTGAAAAATTTGTCATTGCTAAAGACCATATCTTGTATCGTTTTCTTTTTAAGTTTTAAGTCCAAAATAAGAACTACCTTGATCAATGAGCTTTATAGCACCTAGTAATGTTTAAGTCTAGCTGTCTAGAGCAGAAATAAAAGATAAAAATATATTCTCATTTAAACCGATAGACAGTTATTATTTCCTTATTACAAATTTAGCAGAATTCCTAACAGTCGTTTAGGCAGTAAACGTTGGTTAAATTATTTTTTTTTTTTTAAAGGCAGCTCATGGAACATTTCTACTTATTAAATACAGTGTGAATGCTATACCAGTCCTTTGTTTTCTACTGGTCCTAATTGTTAGGCTTCTCCTCTACCTCCGCTCCTCCCCCAAACATATGTATATTAGAAAGTTTCTTAGTGGATAATGCTCCTGATGAAGCATATTTTGGTTAGCTAGAAATATAAAATTGATATTTATATAGGCTTAGTAACCTATTTTAATATGTGGTAATTTTTATGTACTTAAGCCCAATTGTATGTTGAATGATTTCATGAATTTTATATCTAAAAAAACTATATTCTAGATGTTCTTTAGCTTAAAATACAAGTACTTTGAAATTTTCCCTCCCTTAACTTTGTTTATTCAATAAACATTGTGTGTCTGTCTGAGGCTACTAGTTTAAATAGATGATGTGATGTATTTCCATGGTATGCCTGGTTCCCAGTTTTTCAGTGAATATTCTAAAAAATGAAATTTCTGGTTCATGCTTATTGGTGAATTGGTAAGTCATTATTGGCAGGTCAGTATAGTGAGTCTAAACTAGGATTACACAGAATTTTTTGACTTCTTAGATTTTTAAAGCACCAAAATATTGAATGTCTTTTTGAGTTATCCATTTATGGAGAGCATTAATCCAGTAATTTCTTTTAGAAGACGTGAACGATCAAGAGAGAGGGACCATAGTAGATCACGAGAAAAGAGTCGGCGTCATAAATCCCGTAGTAGAGATCGACATGATGATTACTATAGAGAGAGAAGCAGGGAAAGAGAGAGACATCGGGATCGGGATCGAGACCGTGACCGAGAACGTGACCGAGAACGAGAGTATCGTCATCGTTAGAAGGTGGGTATTCCCTGTTCTTGTTACATTTAGCATGTGTATTATTAACAGTAATTATAACTCCAAGGCTGTTGTCTATACAGTATATACCTACGTTAAATGGCCCAACTACTTGTTCTGAATTTAATCTTCTAAAAAAACATCTGAGACAACAGGTAAGTAAAGACAGGTAAAAATTTTTACCTTTTATCCTTGAGTATTACTGAGTTGTCACTTCTAGGTTTCAAATTAATGGTCGTAAAGCAGGAAAATAATCAAGAGGACTCATTGTGTACTTCTAAAATCTAAAAATTGGGATTCTCATAATCACAGTTTGCATGTGATTTAAACTGGGAGTTATTTCATATATATGCATATATTATGTGCTTGGATTCTTTAAAGTTTCTCTTTTGAACTAACTTCATTTGTCCCTAAAACTTAAGGTACTCTGTAACACTATAATATTTTATAATACAGGAGGATGTTTTCTCAGCATTGAAAGAGATTTTTTTCTTAATGTTTTTTAGAAAATGTTTTCCTAATACACAGATTTTGTTTTTAAAAGAAAAGAAACAGTATCCTTTAATTTGCAAAGATGTAAAAGTTACTGAATTAAAATGGGTTCAGGGTACTTCATATCTAAAAATTTTAAATTCTATCAAGCCATACATCCCAGGTTAGAATAATCTTGGAATAATTTTCTTTGATGTTTCATTCATAAACCATAATCATTGTCTTTTTTCTGTATTTTAAAACTTTCTTGTGTACATTTTCATAAAATGGGAAGAGTTGTCTGTTTATGCTTCATTTTCACGTTAATTTTATTTTATATCTGTGAACAGCATTTATTCATGTGAAGAGTGGGGGGATGGCACTGTAAGACTGTGCGTGTGACACAAAGGTTTTTCTGTAAACAAAAATATTTTTTCTTTATATGTTGGTGGTATATCCAAATTAAATTAAGCTAAAACCAACCCCCCCTCATAGGTAAATACTCTTTATGTGATTATTTCAGTAATCATAGGAAACATTGAAAATACAGTCGTGGTAATTGTTACTATTTAATTTGTTATGAGCAACATCATAAGCTTTATCAAGTGTATGTAATTCTGTGACAGAAAGCAGTTTCTTTAACAATAATGGACATATTTTAGGAGATGAGATCCTTTTCAAATAACGCTATTTAGAAAATAAGCATGTAAGTCTTATTTTTATGGAACACAAATAAGCTATTACACTATTTACAATTTTAAGGGCTTTTTGAAGTGAAAAGGCCGGTTTTAATACTTTTCCTTGCATTTTGAATATGCAGCTCAAATATTTATCAAAACTTTAATTTTTATATAGTTCTCTATATATAGTATTACAAAGTTTAAGATAAATAATTCTCAAAACATTCCTTTAATATGAGACAAAGCATCTTTTATTTTTAAAACTGAGCTTATTGAAATTGATACTGTTTTTGGATGTAAGAATTGAATGTTGTATTATGTAAATCTAAACACTAAATTTTAAAGATGTAGTGCTTTTTTATTTTACTGAGTTGAAAATATCTGATCCTGTCTTACGAAAAAATTCTCAGCGCCCATCAGTTGCTTAAGGTGGATTATAGTCAGGTTATTACTTGAAATGCTTAAACTACATCAGCCATTTCATTTATCGTGTTATGTATTTATTAGACTTTGTGAGTTATTAACAAGCTTCTAGTTACTGAAGGCATGATAATGAAACTTGAATACCATTTTTAGTCATCTCCAAACTTGGATGTGCCTGTCAAGGGGCCTCTAAAACAATTTACATCCAAAGTTAGTTAACGACAGTTTTCATACTGGTTTTTGTAAAACTAGTATAGTCAACTAAGAAAACTCTTTCTGAAAAGTCCATGGTTAATTTTAAATACTTTGAATTAACTCATATTACATTTTAGTAATGGGTACACCTAAATATATCATGACTTGAGTTTCATTACATTCAGACATTAACTATGAATTCCTAATGTTCAAACTATTGTTGACATTTTTTCTTAATCACTGATGTACCATACCAAAATTCCCATGTTTTGTTTGTACATTAATCAGAATTGAGTTGTAATATTGTATGTGCCTTCATCCAAGCAAAATTTTACTTAAGCATTTTCAGTGCAAAAAATTCTGTTGTCCTGGATTATTGTACCTTTGGCATACCAAACAGTATTTATTGTGGATGTAGACATGAACAAAGAGGTGGGAACTGGGATTAAATATATTCAAGTGAAAACATTTTTTAAGCTAGAAACTATCTGCAAATTTTATCACCATTATAATAAGGTCTGTTGTTGACCTCTTTAGAAGTTTTTAAATATGAGTCCTTTTGAGCTTTCATGTAAATCTTAAACGGACTAAATGGAGTAAGAGTGACTTGAAAGCTAATATGAATGTCAGTAGTAAGTCTGTAAACAAATAAAACAATAATGTATTCTATTACTAAAGTGATGGTTAATGGCTAAAAGGGCAAGTTCTTTAACTGGAAACAATGATGTTGGCAAGCTGTTAATGTCTGTCCCATCTTAATTTTTTTGTGTGTTTGAACTGTTAGTAATGTTAATTGCATTCTCTCATTTTAAAAATGTATTAGTTTTTCTAAAAGCATCCAGTACCTAAGTTCAAATAGATAATATCTTAATGGAAAATATCAATATTGTAAATTTCAGTATGTAAATACATTGTGCTTAATATTCTGTAATTTCTGCCTCTATTCTCAGACCACCCTGAGCAAAATAAAAGTAGCTCATTGCTTTAAGATTGTACACTTCTTACAGAAATAATTTCACTGTCATAGTTGAGTATGTTCTTTTAGGTTGTGATCCTCTTATTACTTGTTTGGAACAGCCGTAATCAGCAAATTTCTGTTACCAACAGTTTTTCTTTGTGTACTGAATAGTAATGAAACCAAATTATTTTTTTAAAATACTCTTTTTCAGGCTTTTCCTCTTCCTGATTTATGAGGTTTTACATATGCTCAAGTCGTTATCCATTTCTTTGATAGAATTTTTAAGCATTGGGTATAGGCTCTGGATTACATTACTATACTTTCCTTTGCTGTGTGTTTTATTTTCTTCTACCATAAATATTATGATCTTAGATTTTGTTCTTATTGTGCAAGATTTAAGATGCATAGCATTACTTATTCAGCTTATAACATTCTGTTAATTTGGGAAAAACCAACAAAACCAAAAGAACAAAAAATTCTTTCTTGCCTGTTAGGATATTTCGTCTCCTTAAGAGTTAGTGTTGCTTTGAGGCTTATGTGAAAATTAAATTCTCTTAATTACCTGGTGAGTGATACTGGTTGTAATAAGATTTTAAAATTATTTCTGGAACTCTTAGGTCATCTGAGATCTGTCTAATATTTCCCAGCCCCGTGTTTCCTTGTATTTTACAATATATCCTAACTACTCTGCTTCATTTGTATATGCTAGCTCTCTTTTCTTTAGCCCTAATTTCCCATGGCTCTAGTATTATTTGCAAAACCTGTCTGACTACACAGCTATCTTATTTAAAGTGACAAGAGAGGGTAGGAAGTGATCCCTTGAATGGGTGTGTAGTGTTTTGCTCACTGTGGTTTAAGAATATAGTTTTGTTTACAAATGATTGTTCCCTGTTTAAAAAAATCCAATGCCAATGTGTCACCTTGCTCTTTCACCTTCATCTCAGTGTTAAATTTACAACCATTGTTTTAGTTTGTAAATTAGATTGTTTTGAATAAATAATGTTTTGAATGAATATTTAGTTAGCATTGTTTAAAGAAAACCTCATGGCCAAAAAGGATGCCATTTATGCTATCCAAATTTATGAATTTGCTTTCTGTGGTAGCATGTTTTAATTCTCACAGTGAGTTCTGAATAACAAACAGCTCATTTTGAAATGTCCATTTTGTGAATCTTTTGGAGGCAGAGCTGATTTTTCTTTTACTGTGATAAAGTTTATTTCTACTTTTCAGTGCACTGCCTATAGCAACAATTATGTATGTTTTATAGAGTAATAAAATGCTTTAGTTAAAATGAGGTAAGTACTATGTTCAGAGGTAGAAAGATAAAAATATGAAATGTTTTGGTAGCAAGGAACTTTTTGTCAACATCTACAATAAACAGAATTGTTTTTGTATAATATGTTCTATTCAACATAAGGAGGAATTTTGATTTTAAAAATAGTTAACTTGTATTCAGATACTTGTCTTGCCCATATCATTTCCATTCCTGTCATTAAGGAGTTTTCAGATAGAGAAAAGTGAGTTTTATTTCATTGAGTTAATAATACTGTATCTCTAAAATTAGATGAGAATCCTTTTAATTCACTATATTAATATGAAAATGTATATAATATGTATATATATATATAAGAGCCCTATCAAATATATATTTCAATCTTTAACCTAAAAAGTGAATTTACCATGAGTTTAAAATATTGATGCTAACAAATTTTCATAGATAAGTTTCTAATAGAAGTACTCATGATTTGAGTTATTAATAATAATGGCTTGATTTTACATTATCTCAAAATGCAGGTACTTCTCTGTGTATTGAAATTTTACTTAGTGCTCACTTTAATTTACAGACCTTATTAAAGAGCTGTAGATTCCTTTTGTCTTCTTAGTTGTTATAACAACTGTTGACATAGGCCTTCCTTTTATAACTGATAGCTAAAGCAAAGTAATTGTGTGGCTTTGACATTATGGATTTGACCAAATGGTATTCTGAAAACATGAGCATTGAATGTATTTGTCACTTTTAAGCTTCTTTTTGATATTTTTGTTTATGTAGATGTCTGATACATTTGAGACTATCTTATGGAATTGGATTATTGGAAATGGGTTGTATTGCCTTCAAATTTGCTTTCATTTGAGATTGTAAATTTCATATTTCCAAGTGGATAAATGTAAAGTGTTTAAAAATATAAATAAAAACTGCCAGACTATCCCCCAGATTTTATATGTCTGTATGGTAAAAATCAAGTTTATTAATAGTAAAGGTCTTTCAATAAAATATATAAACAAAAGATTAGTCTTGGATAAAGATGTGTATTGTAATGTCACAAACAGGATTCTCTATATAAAAAGTAGTAAAATTTTCCACTGGAATTGCAATGATATAGAGTTTGCAGTATATGCAATATGTTTTTTGGAAGGGTTGAATATTTTTTGCTCACTATGACTTTAAATAATTTTTCCCTGTTTATGACCCCAATCTCTCTTCTTTATCCTTCCCAGCACAACAGAAAAATTTAGGGAGATAGTATTCTTTTGCAGTAACATTTATGAATTTCCCATTAATTATTTTCTCAGATTAGAATAAATGCCTTGGCTCTTTTTAATGCTTTACCAGATTTCTAAAAGTACATTGCAAATAATAAATAATAAAACATTTGAAAGCTGCCATTTTGGATTTTTTCTGTTAATTAATTCCACTAAATGGCTTCATCAACATACCCATAAGATGAAGGTGCAGTAAAAGGTAAAATTAGGAATGGCTTAAGTATCTCTTTCAAAAATACGGGCATATAGAAACTATTTAAAAGTGAAAGTCCAAGGTTATAACATCTGTTTTTTTTCATTTTGCAGTTAAAATATTTTACTGCTAGGCAGTGTGAATGTATATGTATACTGATGCTCTTAAGATGCTTACAACATAGTTGGGGAAGAAAGGACGTAAAAGATAAAATTTATAGTTTCAACAGAAATTACTCTTAATTGTAGAGCATAAAGCATTTTCGAATTATTTTTATGGCAAGATATCACTAAACATTGTGCCCTTTTGACTCCAAAGTCACTTTATTGTTGAAATGCTCTCTTGGAGTTTATATTATGAATATATGGTGTTTCATGATCACTATGTCCAAGTTAATTGAATATTTCTTTTGTGAACCTCTACCTGAAGTTTGCATATATATGTATTCTTGAAATTTTAGTTTATCAACTTTGTTTTTTTTGTTTTTGTTTTTTTCCTTTGTGAGTTTTCAATGAAATTTATCTTTGTAGATTCCCATTTAGCTTGTTTTTAGTTAGTTTATATATATTAGATATTTCAGTATAGGTGGAATAGAGTGAAAGTAAATGTTTTAAATTTGTATTATGTCTAAAGATTTGTATGTGGATGTCATTTATTTAAATGTCCATACTGAGCTACTTATAAATTTTATTTCAATTTTGTAATATGGATCACCATTTGATTTATAACCACTGCAGAAGATCCTGTATCCTGTCAAATAAATACAATTAATTTGTAAAATAAGTTATTGCATTTTATATTCAGTTCAGCATTTAATTGTTAAATGAGTTAATATAGTATTGATATGTGGGTGAATGAAAAATACATTAAAATCATCCAAGCATTTTCTCATTTATTTTTGTAGTATGCATATTTTAGAAGATGATTTATGAATGTTTCATCATCACAGAAACAGTAGCTGCTATATTTTCCTTGGTTTCAGTCATTAAATTAAAAAGTCAGTAATATCTAAGAATGAAATCAGAATGTCTCAATTTTCATCATCAGATAAATTGGGAGCATTTCTCCACCACAGATGCAGCTACTGTTTCAGTTAATTCTTATTTTGTGTTAGAATACATAACAGTGAAGTAGATGCACGACATGTGTATGTATAGTTAAGCCAGCATTTTTCTGTGTATTATGGGGAATAGCAAAATCTACATCACAAATTTTGACACATTACAGCTGAAGGAAGAGGAACACCTTCCAAGACAAAACAGTCTTCATGGGGGAAAAATGACGCTTGTCCAGCAGTTTACTTCTTGTGATTGAACTGAACCTGTAAGGATTCATGGATAAAATGAACAGGAATAGATCTGAATAAAGCAAATCTGCATAAATGGTAACCAGTAGCTCTACTTTTATTTTTTATGTTGCTTAACTGTTTTATTTGAAGGAAACCCGTGTGATTTTAGAAGTTATAGCTTTTGCAACTTTATTACTGGTTATATACATTTGGCCATTATAATGTGCAAGCAATTGGAAAAAAAAAGTCAAGTAAATGCTTGTTTTTATAGTAGTTTGTTCTTGTTAAAAATGTTCATATGATAATGTCTGTAAACAGCACCACTTTGATTACAATAGATGTAGTGTTGTAATAAACTGTTTAATGGGGCTGATGTGTAAAGCTGTTCAAGTTATTTGATGTTTACACCTCAGGGAAAGTCTTGTGTTCAGCAATATCTAAAGATAATGTTATTATGACAACATTTTTACTGTCCTTTAAAAAAGCATTGCAATAGCATTTTTAGATATGCATCAATCTAATCTTGCATTCAGTGAATTAAACATACTAATTAAGTGTCTCTTGCCCTTGATTTTGATATTAGAATAGGTGATTACGTGGATATTTAATATTTCTATATTCTGCTTTTCTAGCTGTTTTTACCTAGTTAGCTTGTGACTTTGCTGAATGTTATGTAAACTTGTAAAAATGGAAATTTGACAGACAGCAACCCGGTCAATGTGTTAGGGATCAAAAAATTTGAGGTTTTAACATTTTAGTAAAAATTCATACGTATTTGCTACCGTAATGCAGCTTAATTACAACACAGATGTACTGAAACAATTGTGAACTGTTAGCATTGAAGAAATATTTTGACAGTTCTGATTTGATGCTGCAGTTATTTGCTGTTTTTTTATTGATGGTGCTTGTGGTTCATTTTGAAGCCACAGGCAGTGTAAATACAGCTGTGCCGCAGGTAAATGTGAGTAGAGAGAGCCTTAGTTTTATTTTCCAGTTGGTGTAGATTTCTGAAGATGTGATGTTTATTAACACTAAGTTTTATTCTCCAGTATGTGTAATGGGATATTACAGGTGTACCCTGTCTCCACAGTTTAAGGAATTCTGTGTATATTCATGCAACCTATTGATTCATGGTAAAGTTAGTTAAGTTAATCAAAGGGTTGTTTTTTGTTTTTTGTTTTTTCCCAAAACTGCCTTACGTATAGGCCCACATTAAAAAGCACCTGCCTGGCATGTGTTCTTAATTTGCAAAATTAGCAGAGGCAGATTGTCAAACTGATTAGATATTTTTATAGGAAGGTAGTTTTAAATCATAACTTCAGAAATTTGAGTTAAAATCCTCAAGCAAGTTAATTTGTTTTTAATATATTTTTAAGATCTGATTATATTTGAAAGATCTTCTGATAACACCACACTGGTTTTTAAAGTACAGCTGAACTTTAGGACAATGAGTAAGATATTTAGGTATCACAGATGTTATGTAATATACAACTGTAGAAGCCCTCCAGAGATTTCCACTGCCGTTCTTCAGTTTCATCTTGTCTGCTGTCATACTACTACTCACAAAATTAGCAGTTTTGAATTATCCATAGTACTGCCAGTTTTATTTTAAAACATTTTGTGATTGGAGTATATTTGTGCATGGGAACATTGATGTTTACCAGAACTGTGCTCTCAGAATGATTTTTTAAGTGTTTTATCTTGTTGAAAATGCAGTTGCCTTTTTAACATTGAGAGTTGTATCAAAATCGATTTTCTTGTTTTGTGTATAGGCGGTGTTAGTTTTCGTCATTTTCAAAATCTTTTTTATTGTTTTAATTACAATGCCCTAATGTGAAGAAGTGTGGACATAAATATATTACAAGGGAAATTAGTTAATATAGTAAGGTTAAAAGGTAAGTAAAATGTCCAGAGAATAAAATTTTCTCTGAACAATTTTAAAATGGAATCACAAAAATCTAACTGCACTTGAACTTGAAATGGAACTGGAAATTTTATACGAAGTAAATCCTTCATTTACCTTTTCCATTTTTTATCAGTGGAACCCTTTAATTGCTCCTTCTATAATACTGTTCTCCCTGCTTGGCTGATCTCGTTACATGACTTTTGTTGCAGACAATGTGTGTGCTAGAATCATTTGCTGCTATTGTAAGTGTTGTCAGAAGGAAATAACTTTTTGGATTGACCAAGTAATTTTACAAAGTCTTTTTCTACCTGATAACACATGAATGTATAGCAGTAAAGGTGAAAATTGCAAAACTTGTTTTATTCTCTATACCCCCTTTGTTGTTTATGGGCTGGTGTTATTAAAAAAAAACAAAACAAAACAACAAAAAAAACCACCTTTTTAAAATGTAACTGTATAAAAATAATCCAAAGACATAAACCCTTGCATAGACACCAAAAAAAAAAAATGTGTCTCAGAGACTGTTTCTGTTTTTTCTTAATTAGTAGTAACTGTAGTGGATATAAAAATAAATGAGTCCAATTTTAAACCATAGCATTTGTTAGTGCTATGCAGTCACATTCCTTTCAGCCAGTAGTAAAGTTATGGATGAGTGGGTACAGCACCTGAATGGTATTGCTTCTGAAGCAGCACTTTAAATTGAATATGCTGCTTTTGGTTAAAGGAGGTATGTTGTAGAAAGGATATTCCAGTATAAATTTGCAAGTGTTTATTTTGTCAATTTTCATAAGCAAGATATGCAGTAAGTTGCAGGGCTATTAATCATAGTTTAGCCCATTTAATGGCCTGTTTACCTAAAATGTTCTTAAGCAGCTAAGGTACAGTTTGGAGTTCACAAATAATTTGTAGCTTAAGATATTATTTTTATTTAATTCTCCTGTGGAGAACATTTTTTTATTTTTTACTAATCGAAGGTCAGTTCTTAAAATAAACATGGAGGTTTTAATGAATGTTGTATAATATTTTATAATGAAAGGGGAAAATTATTGAAAGGGGAAGGACTTTCTCTTTCCCTTATGTATTTAAATGTGCCAATAACCTAAATACATACTATTCTTACAATGAGATGCTACTACAAGACTTTTCTGTTGGAGTGCTCTTGACATTTTGGTTTTCATACCTGAATGATCATTGCATTTTCTGTATCTTATAAGATAGCTCCAATTTTGTGTTTTAAACTTCAGCTCAAGAGGTTTATGTTCTAATTCTTTACTGAGAATATAGTATTGAGATTCTCACTGTCTTACAGATCACTGCTTTTTAAACTTTATTCAAGTTCATTTGCATCCCATAGCCCTCTGTAAATGTTTTCCCCAGTTGTATGTACTTAAATGCACGCTTTGTACATATTAGACATTTTTTGTGCTAAAATGTATTAAGTGGGATTTTTGTAGCAAAGCATTCTATTTTTCTGTTCTTACAGTGTGTGTGTGTTTAACATTAACCTTCAGTTTAAACACTGGTGTATTTTATTTTTTAGCAACTTGACTCTTAGAAGCCTTAGACTAATTTTTTAAATAAATAGTCAACCAAAAATTATAAATTTATTAAGATGTGGCCTTACATGTGGCATTCCTTGTGTTCATAATGTGAAATTTTCAATTTAGAGAAACCAGGATTCAGGATTAAAGTTTCATTGTAAGTTGAAATAGAAAAAATGTGTTAAAATGTCTAGGCTTCTGGGAGAAAGTGCTTATGTTCTTCTTTCTTGGCATTAGAAAGAAGCAATGTGAATTTTTATGAATATTCAGAATATTCAGCCAGTTGTATTCTGTTCCGACTGATTTAGGTTTGTCTTAACCAATGTTTCTTTAAAATTTCAGGTTGTTGGCATTCACTATCTGGGTATGCAGCTACTGTGCTTTTTTGTATGGGACATACAACACTTGGTTATATACAGACAGATTTTAATGTTTTAAAGACTTCCCTGCTATATTAATTAACGTATCGTAATGGGGGTCTTATAAAGTATTAGGTAGAAATTTATTGAAGTCACACAAATCTTGAAATGGTATCTGCAGATAGTAAATACTACCAAGAGTTTTTCATGTGGGAGTATCCTAAAACTCCACCATGGGTGTAAATCTTTTACATTAATTTCATAGATAGACCTTGCATTTAGTAAAAACATTTCATTTTGAAGGTGTGTTCTTTTTGTCGCACTGTTATTGCATAACACTTCTCAGCATTCTGTAAGTTAAGTTACTTAAAAATACAGTGGTGAATTCATGTTTGTTTATTTTTTTATTTTGAAAACTGTAGTACTCAGGTGGTATTTAATGGGAAAGGATCCTTTGGGGTAAATCATAATGTATTCTAAGGAATGCATCTATAACACTGATGACTTTAGCCTTAAAAAAAGGTCTATTTATTATTCCTTTTTCTTCTGCATCCCATGGTATATTAGCAAAGTAGTTTACAGCCCTGTACAGCCTTACAAAGTTGTTTTACAATTTTTAATGGAAAGCCCTTAACAAAAAAGTTGTATCATATTACTAGTATTCATGAGTTACTTAATCATAGTTTGTAAATTATTTGTCTAATATCAGAAGGCCAAAGAAAGTCTTAAATTTTTAGCTATTGATTCTATGGTGACTCCACAGTAAGATTTCTGTCCAAAAGGTAAGGTGATATTTGATCAAATAGACATCTTTTTGATGTCCGCAAGAACTAGACTTCCATATTAGCTTCTATTAAAAAGCTCATGCCATTTTATTAAAATGTTTGTAATTGCGATTTGTGTTTAATGTTTACTTTGTCTTTTCTTTCTTTAGCATTTAGGTGACTGTTCAGCAGTTTGCTATATGGCCATTGTTGGCCTTAAACTGCACTGGTAACAAGCATGGTTATTTATCTTGTATTGAAAATAAAACAAAGTTTTGATAAGACTTTGTAGTTTGTCTTTTTTGTTTGCTTTATAGTTTGTTAACCATTGCGTATCGTTTTGAATAATTAATATCTGTTGGCATTATGCAGTATAACAGAAATTGGAGTGTTGTCAGTATTTTTTAGGCCACCCTCTTTAGATGATGGCTTTCTTATATCTTGGCATTTTGATGCTCATGATATCTGGCTAAAATTAGAATTGAAGAACCTGAAGGATTTCTGGGCTGTTTTTTAAATCGAGGATTCAGAAAACATTTGTCTAGTTTTAAGGAATTAATAACCTTATTAGACTTACATCAAGTAAAAATGTTTTTAGATTACAGCAAAAAATATTTCATCAGTTAGCTTAGAAACATTATAGGGTACTTTTAAACAGTAATAAATTTGTGATTTCAATAAATATCTGTGTGCTGGGTGTTATATCAGGCTCCTGTTTTCTCACCTGCAAGCTTCAGTGTATGTTAAAGGTAACAATTCTAAACAATTAAAATAACCATATGAGAAATAATAAGCTACTATCATGGATCCCTTTCCATGCTTCCATTAAAATTGTGGTTCAGGCTGGCCAGTTAGCTCAGCTGGTTAGCACAGCCTTGTAACACCAAGGTCAGGGGTTTGGATCCCTGTACCGGCCAGCCACACACAAAAAAAATCGTGGTCCAGGTTTTGTTAGGTTTCCTGTTACTCTTTATTATATGTTTACATGCATTGATCCCCACTTGTGTTGTATTAATTGAGACTTATTTCTGGCGTGTACAGGCAGAGATCATTTAACTGTCCCTATATCCACCGAGACTGCCTACCAGTAAACTTCTATGGCAGTAATGTCCTTAACTTACTAAATGATCTGACTATATGAATAGGAACTAATGGGGAGGAAGATTAATGGCCCACCTCCTCTTTTATCCCTATTCAGAATACCTGGGCAGTAATTTACCTAAATTTAACTAACCTTCTGCCACTTTTTCCCCCTGCTTACATAGTAAGGACAGAACATGCCCTCTTATCAGACTTGGCTAGGACTGGTTGTTGATCAGTTAATGGAAAAAGACAGTGAAAGCAGGGAGTCATAAATGAAGATATAAGTTTACATTTATTCCTTACGCCCTTCTTAGTCTCCTTTGCTGTTTCTCTTCCCTAACCTTTCCATTTTGGGGTACTCCCAGGAGGCTTAGTCCCCCTACACTTCTTGGTGCTATTATCCAGTCTCATAGTTGTAAGTAACATATATGCTGTCACTTTCCAAATTTATATTTCCAATTCAGATCTTTCTCTGGAACTGGAGTCTTAACTGCCTAATGGACATCTCTACTTGGATATCTAATGGACATCTCAAAGTTAAAATGCCACAAATGAACTCTTAATTTTTCACCCTCCCACCTCCCTACCTGCTCAACCTGCAGTCTTCCTCAGCAGCTAATATTAATACCATAGTTTCAGTTGCTCAAAACTAAAACTTAGTCCCAAAACTAAAGTAATTCTTGACTCTTCA